TTGAGGAGCTGCTTGAGGCTGTGGTTGGGGGGCTCGACAGCTGAGTTTAAAATCTTTAGCTCGCACATGCATAGAGAATGTCCCTGCAAAGTTTCAGCTTTCTACCTTGCCTGTTCGCAAAATCGTTTCCCCCCAACATATTTCTTTAGAGGTCCCGTACGCGGGGTCTAGGCGCGTATGGGAAAAGATCTTAAAACGGGAGGATGACATACGGGGTAGGAATATATATCCAAAGTTCCAGCCTCCCAGCTTTCCTGGTTGCTGAGATGAAAATGAGTGACAAAACGCACTCACCTTTGAAGACACACAGACAGCCTCTCGACAACATGCGTTTTTGCTGGCTGTATCAGCGCTGCTATAGAGCTGCACAGCAAAAACGCATAAAAAGACGAGATCGATGAGACACAGGCATCTGTCTTTTTGGGCGCCAGTTTCTTATCAGAATCCTTATTAGAATTCTTCATGTGGAAAATACTATAAGCAATGTAAAAAAAAAAAAAATGCGCATCCACTAATTATTTACGCAAGCGAAATTTTTTCAAAGAATGAACACCCAGCAAAGCATGCTGCACTTTAATACTTAGACTAGGTGCATGTTCGTAATCTGGTTGTACAACCATGCAAATGGCAATTCGTGCAGTTGCTTTGACTACTCTGTATCGCCAAGTGGTCAGCCTCCTGAAGATACTTCATGCGTTGTTTCTTCCAAAAGAATCACTTGCTTAACGATTTTGCCAAAAGAAGCAGTTTGGCAAGGCCTTAGGCGTTTCGAGATGTTATGTTGAATACCACCATCTTGCCTCAAACGTCGATATTCCTAGGCCAAGACGGAATCCTTGCTAACTACGATATCTTACTGGTCAGAAAACAATGAAGTACGCGCATCAAACATGTGATAAGGCATGATAAAAGACGCCAGGAACAAAGTGGGGAGAGGGGGAGCCAAGCAATTCAGATCTTGGGCCTGCCCATCTACAGAACGATCACCAATATCGCGTGGACAATCATGGTGGATCCGATGTGATCAGACATCAATGGGACGAATCCTCATGCCACGCGTACCTATATCATCTTCAGTTATTTGCAGCTGCACAAACCACTGCTTCGAAAGATCATGAGTGGTGTTCGATTTAACAGAAAAACATGTCAAACAGCACAAAAAAATATGGAATAAACCTGAATACTTATGGCATATGTGTATATGAAGTTTCAGCTTTACTGCGCTACTGAATGTTTTGTTACACATTGTGCACAAATGCGACCTGCAACAAAAGGATGGATGAAGTCGAAAAATTGGACACAAATACCATGTAACTAATATGCGCTAATTCAGAGTATCTATCTCATCGGTTTTCCATTCGCTGTGTTAGATAAATGTGAATTAGAGTCCAAATTCAAAACCGTCCATTTAAATTCAATTCAGAGGATGTTTTGCCTTACTTTTTGTTTGACTTATTTCTGACAAACCTTTTTAATTTCTGATTTCTGAGAAAACTCTGTTCAGAAAAACATCAAAATTGCTATTAAAACAGTATGGACTTTTAGACAACATATGTTGCTGCCAACACACCCAGCTGAGAAGTCATTTTTTGGCTTTACGACATTGCTAGTCATACGCAAAATCCATAAAACGAACAACCCTCTCAAGTCCATTCCGCTTTCATGCGTTTCCGTCTTTGGACTGACTGCGCTGACTTCACTTGAATCGTTTCTCACTTGGACTGTTGTGCGTACACTTTTTTCGTCCAAATCCTGGTTCACCTTGGATGTCGGGTTAGGTTTTGTGCCCTGACTTTGTCTTACGTAATAGGCATAGTCTCTTGCCTGTTGATCCCACGTATTTGTGTTTTTTGCATGTAGATTTTCCTGAAAGGACAATAAATTTTAGTGTTCTGCTACGTAAATTGCGTACTTTAAGCATAAAAGTCAATCAAAATTCGATTCGTGAAAACAAATTCGTTTAAGTAGGCCAGCCAACTTTTTCCTTCTCGAAAAGAAAAGTTCTTTGAAAACTGAAAGCGTGGTTTTTGGCATTTTTTGAGGAAAAAAAATCTTTTTTAACTACTGCATCATTAATTCAAAAATCCTCAGCCACCGATTTTCCGTTAGTGCCCTAGAAGCATCAAATGGCAACGACTAATAATTCAAGTCTTTTTTTGCATCTTTGCAGTGCTTAGCATCAAATGAGCTGATGTCAAGATTTCTGCTGGTATTGTTCTGGCTACTGCTGTTGGCTTGCGCATTTCGTAACACGCTAGGTCACTCAGTAGAAAATTTTTTGGTGAGTGATCATGAAAAAACGTTTTAAGTTACGACTGCTTGATATCTGAATGTTTTTGTGTGCCATTCAGCTAGCAATTTTTAATAGTATCTGATTGGTGACTGTAGCCAATTGTGTAAATTACTGTATGTCAGCTGTGAGGGCCAAGTTGTGGTGACTGGCTTAATTTCTAGCAAAAGAATGGTAACAGTGAAAATACATTGCAAGTAGCTTCGGACGGCAATAACTGGTTGTGTGAAATCTTTTCTCCATTTCTCCACTGGTTATTTTCAGCGCTCATAAATCGAACACCATAATCAATTTCACCGACACTACTCTGACTGCCAGATGTCATTGGAGCAAACCAGCAAATTCCAAGCGTTTCAATTCCTGGAAGTTTTTCTGCTGAATGCTCACTGGGAATAGTATCAGGCACCAACAGTTGGCCGCGTGGTAGCGCTTCTTTCCACTGATCGTTTTCAGTATTATCTGTTTGGATATGGTAATTGCTTTCGCTTGTGCTATGTGGGTTACGGTATGCCAGTTGCGTCTGCTGTAGAACTGTAGATCGTTCTGAGGTTCCTGCATTAGAAGTACCATGGGAAGACAATGATCGGCCGTATGGTTCGCCTTGTGCATATCGCACTTGGTTTTCGCTAGTAGTAGCCTGACTAATGCATCCTCCGTTACCGCTGTTATTTTCTGATTGTAGGCACTGTGACAGAGCAGATTCGGTAAATGGTAGGAAAGATTTGAACAAGTCCGTATCGAAAGCTGAAAGCTCTGTACTGCAGGGCCAGCGATTATCGACACAAGTACGAGGTTTTTTGTTCGGGGGAGATTCCATCGCTGCTGTGTTCTGTGGCACTTCGTAATCATACGGAATTTTAGGCTTTCTTTCGCCAGATGATTGAGGGTTGCGCAACCAGCCCTCATGCATCCCATAATTGCTGTTTACGCTCACGCTGGGTGCCACATGCGTATGTGAAATAAAAGAGCCGCTTTCCTTGCCCAATTTCGTTTCGTCATAAAAAGTTTCCACACTGCGTGATAGCTCCTCTGCTATTAGATGTTGATCCAGCCACGCAATCAGTTCCTCAACGGTCTGGAAATATCTGTATGTATACCGAGAGCATCAAGGCAGCTGCCGTGGGTGTTTCATGTCAGTGACGTTACTAAGGTACTTCAGAATAACAGTGCACAGCTATGCCAGACTCTTCGACCATGGGACTGTAAACCTCTCACAAGATACTTTTCGCCTGTTCAGAATCCGCCTCAGGGACCACACAAGCAGTTGCTTAGTTCTTGAGTGTACTGCTCACGAAACCTAACGTCCTAACTGCCTACTTGAAGCTAGCGGGCATTCCAAATCTTCTGTCGGAATAAATTAATTGAAAAACCAACCAAGGTGAAGCAAATTATCACAAATAAAGAACCGGGAAAGAAATTAGTTGGAAGAGCGGGAACTGTCACCGAAAGAGTGCGCATTCTAGCTAAGGCATATAAAAACGTTCAAAACAAAGAAAGGCCAAATATTTAAATAAGCGAAACTGACCTTGTTTTCGCCGTTCGCATCCAGCCGAGGAGCCACAGCAAGTAGCAAAACTATCCGCATGTGCACGATCATTCCTGTAAAAGATTACTTTGAGGAA